ATCTTGGCCACCCGCGTCGCAGTGGCGGGAAATCGGATCTTGGAATCCAGTCCCCAAGGGCGCGATCCATTCAACCAAAATTTCCGGAATATTTCGGTCCAAAACTCAATGGATCGGTTCGGTCCAACCGGAAAAGTTTCGAAAAAACGGGTCCACCTTTTTAGGTGGACCAATTTTCCCGGTCGGAACGGTTGGAATTTTGGTTGAATGGATCGCACCCCAATACTCTGCATTAAACCGTCACGTACATGCAGGATTCATTTCTGTTATTAAGGACCATTAAGTAAAAATCATGTTGATTACATCCTTATATACAGCAGCTTAAGGCCTGGAGCGTAACAGAAATTCATCCTTGGGCTTAAAATGACTCAATTAGAGGTGAGCGAGAAAAGGTTTCCTAGCTTTTTGCTAATGTAACTCTGGTCAAAAACACAAGGAAAACCGTGCCTTCTCTAGAAACCGATAAAGTTCTAACAAACTGAAAATGACTGTTATTATAAGCTTATAGTTTTTCCGAATGTTCGACGTCCCGATATTGATATATTTCTGTAGTCTTTTAGTTACTTAACTTTCCAGTGTTTTATTATAATATTATTACTATTTTGCCTGCCCTAATAATTTTCACAATCGCAAGTTTTGAAGAACAACATAATGGAATATAAAAATAAAATAATATGCCCGGCAGCCGGGAAGGGTCTAAGCTGCACGGCAGTCAGAATGTTTTTTTGATTTTCTTCAAAATCTTTTTTTCTAAATATAATCGTTTGAAAGTATTATATCTTCGTTTAGAATTACCAAGGGATTAGGAAAACAGGAATGGCTTAGCAGTAGAGCGTTTGTGGTTTCTTGGGCATAGAGCCTGAGAGTCGACGCCGTTTCGACACTTAGAAACATTCGAGACTCACGAGTACGTTTTCGCACAGGCTAAATATCCGGCAGTTTGAAAGCCATCTGGAAAGTTAGAAAGCCTGTTAGTAAGCCAAAGGATGCATACTGGCCTCGATTAGTTTTCCAAAGCAATAACGAAAATATTAAGTGCTTTCATTATGAAACCTTAGAGTCAATGCACTGTGTGAATCAACTAACGTGTGGAAAAAAAGGGTGCAAAGGCAAACGCAGTGCGAATTACGGCCCATAACGAACGGGAAAGGCGGTCCCTGACAACACCAAATTAAATATAGCCAGTTATAAAAAAAACAACTAACGAGTCACGAACGATAAGGAATAACAAGACGAGCTAGTAACCAGACTAAAAGGGGCGTAAAAGACGTGAGAGCTCAAACAGAATAATAACCATACGACTAACTTATAACAGAAATCGCGACGATAACTGTGATCCTCGGTTATCTCCTTCGCGATGTAAATGGCACTGAGATTGCGGACGCGAACTTAATTAGAATTGATCGTGATCACCACCTGGCGATCGCGATTACTGCACCACGATCGCGAGCAATATGGCACTCGACGATCGCCGATTACAACTTAACTAAATCGCACCGCGATCGCAATCACCGCTTCGCAGTAAGTACAATGCCCCTGCGATCGCGATTACCAAACCGGGATCGTAGTCCTGACATATAAATCACGGATTTGACTTTACTAAATCAAGCCGCGATAAGTACAATGTCGCTGCCATCGCGGATACTATTTTCCAAAATTGCACGACCCCATCAGCTGCTTAGCGTTTAATATCATCGAGCTAAAATAAAAACTGTCTGTCTTCGCGATCGCAATCATCTCCCTGCGATCACGATCATTCCGCTGAGATCGCTATAACTTCGCCACGATCGCTCTATCTTCACCATCCTGACCCTGAGATCGCGGATAATATTTTTCTGAATCGCGCCGCGATCGTAATCTTCTTCCTGCGATGACGATCATCGGGCTGAGATCGTTATAACTCCGCCGCGATCGCAATTTCATCGCCAGCATCGCAATCCTAACCTTGGGATCGCAGGTACGACTTTTCAAAATTGCGCCGCGATCGCGATCATCTTCCCGCGATCACGATCATCACGTTAAGATCGCTATAACTTCGCCGCGATCGCTCTATCTTCCCCGCGATCACGTTCACCACGCCGCGATAAGTACAATACCGCTGCGATCGCGATTTCATCGCCAGGATCGCAATCCTGACTCTGAGATCGCGGATAATATTTTTCTGAATCGCGCCGCGATCGTAATCTTCTTCCTGCGATCACCATCATCGTTCTGAGATCGTTAAAACTTCGCCGCGATCGCGATTTCATCGCCAGCATCGCAATCCTGACCTTGGGATCGCAGATACGATTTTTCAAAATTGCGCCGCGATCGCGATCATCTTCCCGCAATCACAATCATCGCGTTGAGATCGCTATAACTTCGCCGCGATCGCGATCACTACGCCGCGATCGCGATTATCGCGTCGCTATTGCAAGCGCGATTTACTTCAATTGCATCGCGATCGCTGATATCGCGCCGCGATCAAAATCATCGCGCCGCGATCGCGATCACCGCGTCGCGATCGCTATCACCGCGTCGCGATCGCGGCGAGGTTATAGCGATCGCGGCGCGGTGATCGCGATCGCGATCACCGCGTCGCTATCGCGGGCGCGATTAATCTAAATCGCGCCGCGATATGCACAATCGCGCCGCGATCGCTGCCATCGCTCCGCGATCGCGGTCATCGCGGCGCGATCGCGGCGCGATCGCTAATAAATTTTTACAAGGGTGTAAATAGTTTGTTAATAGCTTGCTGATAATCAATTTGTGATACTTTTTTTTTTTTTTTTTTTTTGATTACCTGTACTATTAATACTTGTCTCTGAAAAGCTCCCATGGGGAGTTGACAATAAAATTTGTATTGTATTGATTGTATTTTTTTTAATTTCTGGTCTCTGGTGAAAGATTTACAAGAACCGCCACTACAGCTGTATTAACCTTCTTGTCTAAATTTATTATTGTCATAGTTTTAGACATTATGCATATTTTCCATTAAGAGGACTCCATTTTCAAATGGTACTTTACACTCTTACTAAAGTGAATTACCTAACACATACCTCTATGTCAAAAATGTCAATTAAATCTTGCTGATCCTCCTCGAAGACACTACTTCTAATAATTTCAGAAATGTCTTTCCAGTCATTGTAAACCTGAAATCAAAATGAATAAATTATACGAAAAGCCCAAATTACAATCTTGAATGAGGTGTTTTAAGTTAAGGGGAAACTGCCTATCTCAGTTTTTTTTATAAGAGCATGCAGTGACCTTCCCTTGTGACCTGTGTTTTGTAACTGCCACTTGTTAAAGTTAAGAATTTTGTTCCTAAGCAAAATCAGCTTGACTAGTTTTAACTTAACATGTCTGAATTTTGCCCCATATATCTTATTTCTCATAAAACTGTCCAATGTGTCTTCCAATTGAGTAAAAAAGACTTGATTATTTGATTACCTTTAAAAATAATTGGTAGAACACTTCTGCTGCATAATCAGATAGCTGAGAAAGATAAGCATTGTCCACCTTCTGCCTTTTCTTTCCCCATTTCCCTTTAGCAACCGACCAACCAACACACTTCTCTGACAGCTCCACATATCTTTGCTCGATTTCACGTAGCCTGCCCTCCTGCCAGAATTTCAGTCTTCTTTGAACTTCTTTTCCAGTTTCTAAGGAAAACAGGTTAGGTAGTCACATCACGAAGTGTAAGGGGTATTCCTTTTAAGGTCAGGACTATTATGCAAGAACACAAACCACTGCTGGGTGCGCTTTACATGCTATTATTAGGACCATTCACTCAGTTGGGATGTAGTAATCTCATGCAATAATGATGTACCCTTAATACACAACGGTCACGTCATGGGGTTGTATTAATACTAACAGTGCTAGCTAGCCTATCACAACTTCCAGTGTTGATGGATGTAAATACAGTCATTAATTCAAACTGTCTGGTTTATCACAGTCAAAGGGAAGGAAAGCTTTTAAATAACAGTATAATGACTGTAACATGTACCTGAACCTGTGAGGGTAATAGTCTCCTGCTCTGAACCAAAGTCTCTGGTGAATGTCTCTGAAATAGCAATGTCCTGATAGTACTAAAACAAATCATTAAAAATTCATTGAATATTTTCAACAGAAACCATTTTTTTCAGTGTATGTTTGTACATACTACACAAAAAATATTATTGTGTGTTGCACTGGTTTAAGTGAAACATTCAAATCATGTGATATCCTGAGCCATACCTTGATTCTATCATTACAAAATGTGACTTTATTGGGTGTTACTAAAATGAAGACCCAAAAACGAAGACCTAAGACCTAAGACCCCATGGACTAAAACGAAGACCCCTTGGACTAAAACGAAGACCCCTTGGACTAAAATGAAGACCCCATGGACTAAAACGAAGACCCCTTGGACTAAAACGAAGACCCCTTGGACTAAAATGAAGACCCCATGGACTAAAACGAAGACCCCTTGGACTAAAATGAAGACCCCATGGACTAAAACGAAGACCCCTTGGACTAATATAAAATGAAAAATGACTGATGCTAACCGCTGAGGGCAATGCCCGCTCTTGTAATTTGTTACTGCGATTTGGGAATGTTGTGGAATTTCCTCTGCAGTATTTAGTTTTGATAATCAAGTCTAAGTTGTGAATTTAAATCCGGTTTGTTTCTTTCTTCACTATTTTTCCTGAAGGTTCTACTGAATGTGAGTTCCTCACAAACATTGAAACAATTTTCAGGAACTCCTTGCCTCATGACAAATTGAAGTCATACATTTTGCTGATCCAGAAAGTGCTGAACAGGCCCTCCTGAATAAAGTCGGGTGTTACTCAAACGAAGACCCAAAAATGAAGACCTAAGACCTAAGACCCCATGGACTAAAACGAAGACCCCTTGGACTAAAATGAAGACCCCTTGGACTTGAATGCCTTTTATAATTAGAAGTTACTGCGGATTCAAAACGACAACTACAAATGCTGAAATTCATGAATAATCAAGGGCTACATGCCTCAACAAGTAAATTACCCTCCAATACAATTGGCCTTGGACATGCTAAAGTGTTCCAAACAAACTGTATGCAGACCAAGATTGCAATTACATTTCTAATAAAGCAACAATAAAAAGAGCCATTATTCACCAGCCCTGTAGCTAGTTTTTACTAACAAATTTTACCCAGCAAAACTGAAAATCTAATAGTACTGGCATGTATTGGTAAGTTGGTCATTGGTAAGGTCAAATCCTGCATAGTAGAATTTTTTGACTCAGAGATTTTGAATATATACAAATACCCTCAATGCTTTGCAGATAAAGCAACAATCTACTTCAGTTCTTCGTTTCCCAAGCTGAAAGTTCGCTTTCCCTATTTGTTCCAGCAAAAGATTGAGGGCCTTCAGGTCAAGTATAACTGTAGATATAAATTTTTAAAAAGAGGTCAATGTACATTAATTATTATTAATTATTATGTGAAACTTACCTTTAAATCTCACAGCATATAAATGCACTCCATCCACTGTGATTCCATTCTTCTTTAGTGCATCCTTTTGTTTGTTGACATTAACAATCAGCTTTTTTAGGTTTTCCCTAATAATAATAAAAAGTAAAGTTACCAGTAAACTGAAGTTATTACTAAAATGAAAAAAAAAGAAGGAAAAGGAAATACCATACTGCTAGTCTAGTCTGCAGCAGATAGTTCTTAAGACTTGAAAACATAAGGTCGGGTTTGAGTGGCCCACTAATAAATTAAGACCTTTGCGGTAAAATTTTCAAAAATGATTGTTTACTGGGGCCTTTCTAAAGGCCTGATATAATAAATTTGTTGTAAATCTACAAATTATTTCAGCTTGCACTTATAACTGGTCGACAACCAAAAATTACACAGTCAAAACGGTACAATAAAAATTTTCACTAACAAAACTAGTTATTTTGGAAGCAAATAACTATTTGACTAATGAATCAAATTTAAATACAACATACCTGTCTTCCTTACAATTAGCAATAGCTAAAGGGCACACTGATTTGCAGCTCTGATTAGACAGGAATGGTGTGTCTTTGGGGACTACACCCATTAGGACCTGACTGCACCCTACAAATGAGAGGAAACAAAAAAAAGGCATTTCAAAAATTTAAGCACCACTTCATGACCTAGAGTTCAAAGTGTTTTGGTTATGTTTACCCTGCCACTTTGATGTTACCCCCCCAAACTTAATACAGACACCTGTATTTAACGGATTTGTCGCAACAAAAAGCACATGTATTTTCTCTACAATTTACTCCCTAATACAGACAACAATAATATGGACAACAAGTTTTAAACTCCCATATATTATATACCCTGCTTTACATTATTTTATCTCTGCACTGTCTATGACTGAATATCTTTTAAGTGAAAATTATGGATAAGGAACGGGAAATGTTTAAGAATACTGACGAAAAAGACTATTTCAGTCCAAGACTACACCCATGATAAAAGATCACAGGGTTTCGTTAGGATGAACTTGTTTCAGTCACAGTTAAGAAATAATTTGGACACTATTGTATGTCCCTTGGTGTCATAATTTTTAACCCAATTTCACTGTTGATTTTGTTTGTACGTTTTTCTTTCTTAAGTGCAACACAATTGTTGCAAAATACAATAAAGAAATCTGGAAATAAGTTACACTGTATTTAGTAAAGATTGCATTCTCACCTGCAAATGGCCTACCATCAAGCTTGAGGCTTAGGTCAATTATTTTTTTCTGCACACCATGTAATCTCAACTCCCTGATAATGCATGTTATGGCACTTTCAAGAGAAAATTCATAACCAGGAAAATCTTGTATTTGGGTGATGTCAAAGAGGCTTCAAACTTAACACCATAGACCAAAGTGCCTTTACGTTGCGTTTGGAAAGCAAGATCGGAGTGTATGATGAGTTCTAAAAGAAAAGAAAAAAAGATCAAAGGTACTGACACAGTACCCCTGCCTCCCCCCACAGAAATAGCCAATTTTTCTTACACCCCTCAGAAATCTTCCAAAGATCAAAGGTGCCGTCACAGTCAATCCCCTCCGAAATGACTTTCACACCCCCTCCCCCCCCCCCCCCGCATTGAGCACCTGACCGCAAAGCTCGTTCGTTACCATGGAAAAGGGGTCTCCTGGTGTGAGAAATAAAATCGGGCCTCTACCTTATGATGAATTAAGTCAAGTGTTACAGGAGGTACAAGTGTGTCCAGCAAAAACTGCAATTTCTGGGATTTCTCCAAAAATTGCGAAAAATTGGAGAAATCGCTGTTTTTGCTAAAACTAATTAAGTCAAGTGTTACAGGAGGTAGAAGGGTGTCAAGCAAAAACTGCGACTTCTGCAATTTCTGCGATTCCTCCAAAAATTGTGAAAAATTGGAGAAATCGCAGTTTTTGCTAAAATTAATTACGACAAGTGTTAGAGGAGGTACAAGGGTGCCCAGCAAAAACTGCGATTTCTGCAATTTCTCCAAAAATTGCAAAAAATTGGAGAAATCGCAGTTTTTGCTAAAATTAATTAAGTCAAGTGTTACAGGAGGTAGAAGGGTGCCCAGCAAAAACTGGGATTTCTACAATTTTCGGGATTTCTCAAAAAAATTGTGAAACATAAGGAATAATTGCAATGATCCATGGTAGGCATTCTGTCTTTTTTGTTATCATCCAAGCACAAAGGTTGACAGGTTTTTGTAAGTGAGGTATTAGGGAAATACTTGTTACTGTATGATTCAACCTTGCATCCTCTATTCATTGTTGACTAATCCTGACTAATCCCATAATTGCTCTCAAAATCTGCTCTTTAGCATAGAGACCATTATTTCCTTTTTCTCCGAGTTTACAGTAAGCTTTACCTCTCTTTTTCCTTTACCAAGTTGCTTTCTAAACCCACCACAATCTCGGAACTGGTCGTAGAGATACGATAATCTTCTCAGGTTTGAAAATGTTATAGTCACTGAACCTGGTGTACCTATCCCAAATCTTGTCAGACCAAGAATCTCCTTGTTCAAGAGATCGAAGACCTCATGAGGCATGGGAAGGTAAAAGCAAATCATCCACGGATGCACTATGCTCATTTTTGGACTAAGACGGTGAATAATTGCGGTCTTTGCACGATCCATGCTTCGTTAAAGCATAGGACATAATCTCGCCGATCCTGTAGTAATTGGTGCGCTCGCGAAGCGCGCCAAAATTCCCTTTCACAACTGACTCAGCCAGCCTATTCAGTTCGTGGAATGTTTTGCCTAAATCCTTTAGGGTATGTTCGTTCCAAACTCCCCGCTGAAATTTTGATTTCTCTCGCTTCAGTGCATCTTTTATGGAAATTTAGTTCACCTTCGGTAGCTGCACATTGATCCGCCATCTTGAATTTTGCAAAACTAAACTAAACCCGAGGTCGCGCTCGGCCAAAATGAAAGTTGATTAAAATCGACGCTGTTCAAAGGAGTTTTAACCGACGTAATAGCAATGCTGTCTTTTTCAGGGTACAAAAATAGCCTCATTTAGTCTTGTACCCCTAAGAAGGCAGCATTGCCGAAACGTCGGTTAAAACTCTTTTGAACTGCTTCGATTTTACAGTTTTCAAATTAACATTAAGTAGCTACGTTGGGCAGGGAATTTAGCATTTTTTTTTTCACAAAGCGAAAGTTGGCCACATTCCAAGCGTTGCAAATTTTAAAATGGACTAGGTACGTGAAAGTGTGCTGCTACAGCGGTGAGCAGTCCGTTAGTCGCCAAAAATCTTAATAAAATTGCAATGGTTGCTTCGTATTCAACAGCTTCGTTGGGATTTGTGGATTAAAGAACGAAGTATATTTCATTTATAGTGTTGTTGTTTGGGTCCATGAGCATTAAAGAACATCGATTACATGTGGCTTCGTCCGACATTGATTTTTCCCTTGTTGAACTTAAGAAAAAATAGCAAAAAGTGTTCAAGTCTAAATCTAAAAACCTGTTCGAACCCTCAGGCTGTAATTATTGACCAGTTCTCATTTTTATTACATTGTGAGTATTAATTGAAAAGTTTTTTTTAAAATTAAGTACTTTTTGGGCAATCAGATAGAGGCCACGAAAGAAGAAATTAAGGTGCTAGTAAGTTAAAGCAATCAGGTTTAACTATGACCATTTTTCGGTGTCTCAGTCAGAAATGATTCAAATTGATGGAACCCGCAACCGACCTAGCTATGTTCGCCGTCCATAGTCCCCAATGAAGTAAATTGGCGCTGGACTAGGTATAAAAATGTTCTTAGTCTTCGGTGGCAGTCCTGAAGTCGCCGAATACTGTAAAACAAGAATGGCTGACTCGACTTAAGAAGGCTTAGCTGGGGTTGGTGGATAAAGAACGAAGTATATGACATGTATAGTGTTGTTGTTGGGGCATGAGCATTAAAGACCCGAGGTATATTACTTTTGGATTTGTCAAGGAATAAGCGTCAAAGTGAAAGTGACAGTATATAGTGATCCACAACATTTTGCCGTGACGACTTTATACAAAATATATTCAAGATCGACGTAGCAATCGTCGATATTTATAAGATCGTGCAGAACGCTTGACCTATTTAAGTAATGACGGCAAAATAATCACAGCGAAAGGCATCTTTAATAAGCGGTGTTGTAGAGTGTTGTTTGTCACCGGTCGGATCAACTTAAACAAGTGCGAGCGAAGCAACCTCGGGCGAATCCACTTAAGGGCGAAACGACCACATAATTTAGATGTGCTAGTGAAAATAGTTGTTAAATTGCAGTGAATGATGCTGTATTCAAGATGTAATGTGAATAAATAACTTTGACCGGTTGAAAAATACGTTAATGATGTTGATCCCTTGTTCGAAAACTCCTAGTTTAAAGAAGGCATAAAATGATGAAACTTGAAATACAATGGAATCTCACGAATATCACTCGAACCTTTAGATAACAAACCTTTATTTAAAGATTGGCTGCGTTGGCTTCTACGTGTAGAAATGCTTTAATTGCGCTGACAGGGAAATGCCAAAATGGCAAGTAAAGCGGAAACTTTTTGGACCAAAAAATGGGCAAACGGCTTTATTTTAGGTGATCATGAACACGAGAAAAGTGAACTGATTAACATGACAAAGAACTGCGAGAAATCGCAAGTGACACAAAATAATCGTCAGACTTACGATTTTTCGCAATTTTCGCAAATTTTGTTAAATCGACAACTCGCTCTGAACTTCAGTGATTATTAACCTGACAAAGAACTGCGAAAAATCGCAACTAGCGCGAAACACGCGAAAAATTGCAATTTTTGCTGCTGCATGCAAACCTGGACATAAGTGACAGATAATGCAGAAAACTTATGATGCCTTGCTATCTTCAGATGGCAGCAATAAAGCTCCCGTCCCAAGAAAACTGTTTTCTTCAAATGCAGTGACCATTGTTTGATTTCATCGAATAAAAGTCGAGTTACTTCCTAAATAGTTTAAGGGAGTAAAACCCTTAAACCTTCCTAGCAAATAAGAGATACTATAACATATGATCCCCGCAAAAATCAAGATGGGTCATTGAGAAACTCTTTAAAAAAAACAGGGATATTTCTTACTTCGGCCTCTCTTCCCTGTACACAGCTTGTAGGATGCAATTTAATTTGCGGTTAAAAGATACTTCCAGACCTAATAACAGCGTGCTAAAATTAATTAGTAATGGGTGACTAGAGGCAGGTCGTGTATGCAAGTGCAATCGTTCCCATTTTTTTTGTTGTACTAAAATAAAAAGTGTCCTATTTTAACCAGACGAAAAAAGGGCAACACATAGACGTATGAAGGTGCGAGTTGGATTCCATCTTCGTGGCCTAGTCAATTCTAAGCGTACTGTGACGTTAGGTTTTTAGGGTGTTCTTCGTCTTTAACTGTCATAAAATACGCGGCGTTGCGCTGGACGAATAGAAGGATAATCGACGGGACGATTCGGAATAACTGAAGGACGGAATGGGACCGTAGCTCGGTAGAACACTTCGCTGGACTGCGCGGCCAACGTCACAAACAATGCCAGAGGTACAGGGTCGTTATAGTAACTTGTCCGTAGAACAAAGCAGAAATGTCTTCAACAGGATTGGA